GTAATTTTTACTCCCTTCTAGTTTCACCAAAGCGATAGTGTAAAAGACAGCTGGAAAGTCCTAACCGCACGCGATGTTTTACAAATACCTTGATACCAAAAGATAATACATAAATTAAAAGCCGACTGGTCAGCGGGAATATCCATGCCTTGCCGGAACATTCAGCTTCATGATTTTATCAATGAAAGTGAGCAGGGACAGAAACAGGGTTAATAACATTTCTGTAGCCGAAGTGAGAGGTCGTTTCTTTACGGCCGTAACATTCACAAAACCACCTTAAGGAAAGTTACCTTTAGGTATTCAGCACAACAAATAGAGTTAAATTAGACGGCAGCACCTGCTAGAAAGCTGCTCAGTTTTGCCGGGAAATAGAAAAATCGATCCTTTTGCCAGCGTCCCGGGAGGTTACCAGCCTGCGCTCTGCGGGGTGGTACCTCCTCCCCGGCCTGATGTTCCAGATGTGCCCGAGGTGCACCATCGCCATCTAGTGGCTACCGTGAAGTAAGGAAGTTACCGGCGTCTGAGGCATTTTCTGGGTGACAATATGTAGTATTTTAAGCTTTTAGAAGAACGCATGGATTTTTATTTGCCTGAATAATTCCTGATCAAAAAGAAAAAAAAATATTATGAAATCAAACTTTTTTTTTCTTTTTTTTTCTTTTTTTTTTTTACACATAAAGTGGCCCTCCTGTAAATTTTCTTTCTCAGCAGCTTCGCAGCAGGCACAGGAAAACCGAGGGAACCCTGACATGGTAAACTGAGGTAGTCAAAAGCATAGCTTACAGGTGCAGAAAATGCTGAAGTAAATGGCATACCTAAGCTTAGTTTTCCTTTTTTGTTTCTCACTTGGAATAGCTACAAATCATGTAGCACAATGATATTAATAAAAGACAACACCTCAACATTGTGCATCCCTTAATAATATGGGATTTTGAATCTAGAAGCAAGAATATAACATAGAGTTAGGAGGAAAGGGTTCCCTTTCCAGGTTCAGTGAATTTTCCATGTGACCTTTTAGCTCTGCTCCTTTAATTCTGCAGTTATAAAATTATAGCATTATTCAGTGCACTCCCTTTTCATGATGTCCATTCACAGAATGAGCTGATTATAGCAAGAGCTGTTGTCACAGAGCATGGTGGCGTGACAGAGACACAGAAACAAGCAGAAAATCCTGTGTGTTTACAAAACACGTATAAATATAAAACACACTATGTAAAATAGCATCCTTGCGTAGTGACACTATTGTTCTCTTCTGTCAGCTATAAGTCCTTTTTTAAAAAGAAATACCTTCTATAATCTTTAGGTATTTAGAAGATAGGGTTTTGGCAGGATACGTTTCTTCACTCCTCTGTGGCAAATTGTCACCTGTGTGCTCTGGCTCTATCAATTCTTTTCTCCTTGCTACTCTATTCATTTGTATAGCATGGAAGAGCCAGGTGACTTTGCTCCCTGGAATGGCATAAGAAACCAGCAGAATTTTCTCTCATTACAACCATTTAGGTGCTAAAGCAACTTCTTCCTCCATGCCCCTTTAGGCTACTGCTCCCAGCTGGAAGATCTGAAAGAAACATATGTATTGAAGAAGGAGTAAGGCCCCTGCATTTCAGTGCTGAATGCCCATATACCTGAACATGCTTTATTAGTAGGGATACAGTTTGTCTCTGATGATTGCTATATTTTCTTCTGTAAGGTATGAAGCAAGTGAAAAGGTTGCATAAGTTGAGCATGATTCAATGTCTTTTCCCATACTTCACTAAATCTTTCATTGTCTGGACTTTTTTTTCTCCCCCCCCCCAATAATGACTATGTGCAGTTGTAAAACATTTCCAAAGGTAGAAATGTTTATTGGTTGCGTAAAAGCAGTCTTTTGAGGCTGATGCAGATTATGATATTGATTTATTTAGTTTTAATCTGTGTATTGAGAAATGTTTTCCCTCCTTGTTTTGATTAACCATCGGCTTGGTTAAAGGAATTGTTTTATTGTAACGTCAAAATGTGGAATTTATTAGACAAGTTCAAACAAAAGCACTGAAACAAAAACATTTAAGAGTATATTCCTTTATTTTACCTCTCTTGTCATCAGGAAGTTTCTCCTAAATGACTTTTATCTTTCTTGCCACCAAGGTTTAGCCATCTACTGAAACAAATAGGAAAATTATCATAAATATTTTCTAGATATTCTTATTTACTTGCTAAGATTTAATAATATTCTAGATACAGATGTTGAAATCCTAGTCCCAAATTCAGCAAGTTACCCATGCCAACATGCCTAAACTGATGAGTAATGTCATTATAGTCATGTGTTTAACCATCTTCATGGTTCAAAGCTTTTTCATGACTGAAATATCTCGCTGATGCCTGTAGTTAGATTGCGTGAATCTTGATCTAAATGTTCAGGACATTGATGAGAGATTACTACATTTTGAAGTATATGGAGCCTCTTGTGTATCTGAATATCCAGGCTCTGCAGGTTTTCAAGCCCTTGTTCCCCCTGCCACCCATATTCTGTTTGATTTACACAAGGTCCTATGCTCTCATATGCCCTAACCATGGGACTCCTAGCTCTGTGGTCAGGACTTAGGCCCTCTGAACTAGAAGAAGAAGAAGACACTGTGTCACTGATGATAGAATACTGACATCTCTGGAAAAGGAAAATTTTGTCATTAGACCTAAGGGGCATAAGTTAGATTTCATGCATGGCAGCATCGCCACGTCTGGGTTTTTGTGATGTATCCCACCATCACTTAAAATTTCGATACTTTCTCTCCCTCCATATGGCTTTGAACATGGTGAGAAAAACAGAGCATGCTGCCATGAAAGGAGAGTCTTTTTAACAGCTTATGCATTGGCTTTAGGAAGATGTAGTTGGGTAGTAAAGAAATACTCAGGAAAAATAGAATTGGTTCCTGATTGTCTTTAAATGTAACTTTTAAAAAAGCAAAAACATGCAGTAAGAAAGACAGATGTTAACTAAGAATTACTCTTCTTTTTGAAAGCAAAACATTTCATGGTGTTGGATCCCTTGCTGTCATGCCTTTATTCTCTATCCAGTTGAAACAGTATTTACAGAGATAGTTAACAGCATGGTTCCTGGCATCAGTATTGAAAGCTTTATTACTTTGTAGTCACATATGTTAAGTAAGAATGTATATTAGAAGTGTTGATTGCTTTCTAATAGCCTTAGGAACACCTGTACCAGTTATATACAAGCCATATTTTTACTTCAGTGTCACAGATGAACACGTATTGTTTTAATTGGGTTAATTGTGCATTTTTGTCCATTCACAGTATTGCTTTACTGTGGCAGATGGCCCAGTGTATTTGTTATAAATACTTTGCATGACATCCCCTCTATTTTACTAATCTTCACTGTGACTTTCCCATTGGTAATGACTAATTACAGTTTCCTAGCCAGCAACTTTTAATAGATTCCTTTTTTTTTCCTTAATCTCTGCCTGTCCTCAACAGCACCGTTTTGTTCAATAATTTAATCAGTTCAGCAACAGTATAATATTAGATAATTGACCCATTACTTTATGAATTTTTGAAATGCAAAATACCCATGAAGCAATCACTGATGAATATTTCAGTATCGATAGAGACCACTCTCTTTTCTGAAGAAACAGAAAGGGTTTTGCCAACTATGCTTGAATGCTTTTTCTTTCCTTTTATTTTTATTTCTGCCCTTTGGTCCCGAGAACCATATGCAGTAAATAGGAAGGAATCCAATAACCAGAAGAATTAACAGAAAGGATTAACATTTGTGCCTACTTACCATGACCATGTTAACCGTTCAACACCTACATATCAAACGAGTGAATTTATACAGAATAAATTCCGTTCATCCCTGTCTCCTCTTATCAGTGAAGATTTATCTGCGAAAGGGACTCCCTAAGGCAGGTTCATCCCACCTGTGTTAGCAGACAAACGGATGTAGATGCTACAAATTCAGTGGGACAGTAACAATGCAGAGCTCCTTATAGGCTGGTGTGATTTTTTGGGAAACTCCTGGACTCGGGAATTTCTGACTAGAACCACTCCTTTCTCTGGGACCAGGATCAGATAGCCGGCTGGTTCGTGCTGCCTGTCTGTGTGTCACCAGCATCTGCTGTGTTTTGCTAAAAGGGCAGTACTCCACGCACTCCCTCTCTTCTATCCAAGATGTTTCATGAAACGAAGCAGTAGTGGAGCGGAGCTAGCAGGTGGCTGTAGGACAATTCCAAGATTTCACAGCAGTTTGTGAGATTTCACAGTTTAATTTCACAGTTTAATTATGTTCCTTCTCGGAACAAAAAATTACTTCAAACAAGAGCGCCATACGAGCCCTAACCACAATCTGTATGTTGAAGCTTTCATTGCAGAGATAAGGAGGCAGGGGGAGCTGGCTGGAGCATATTACCACTCAGCCATTAGGATGAGTTTGGATCTTAAGTTTAAAATTAGTAACTTCATAGCTTCATAGCATTCAAAAATGGTTTCTGCACACATAAACCCCTCATAACTTTTCTTTCATCTCCTTCCCCCCTCCCCAGAGAGATACAGGAAGTTTAACTTGCTAGTGTCGGGCACCACTCGGTGTAGTGCTGCTTACTCAGCGTTGCTGATGATAGTAGTAGTGATTCCTTTCACCTACTGACTGTTTATCTTGATAGTTTTAATTAAATCTGCCTTTTCTCACAGATGCTGCTGAAGTCACAAGATGGGACAAATTCTGCCTTTGGAGACATTTGCATACTGCCAGGGAACCCACCTAAGGGATTATGCATGTGTGGCCAGGGAGAGAAGGGAGTCAGTCTGCTCTGATACAAAACCAATTCATATTCAATTGCAAAAGAAAGAAAGGTGGAAATTCACCTGAAAAATCTTCTCTTTGAAGGAGGAGAGGAGAGCTGATACCCTTTGGAGAAAAGGAAAATAGAATAGATAAAAGATTATTGTTTGCTGATATTGAAAATTTTCAATAGGCTTAATGCCAAACATTTTCATTTTTCCTCTGACAGGCACAAGCATATTTACTGTTTACGAAGCTGCTTCTCAGGAAGGCTGGGTGTTCCTTATGTACCGAGCAATCGACAGTTTTCCCCGATGGCGTTCATATTTCTATTTCATCACCTTAATTTTCTTTCTGGCCTGGCTTGTTAAGGTACTGAAAAACGTGTTCTTTCAACCTGTCTGAAATGTAGATCATATTAGAATGAATTTCTTCTCTTTTCTGCTTACTGAGCTTTGTGTCAGCCATTCTTTCTTGTTCTTTTTTCAGAATGTTTTCATCGCAGTCATCATTGAAACGTTTGCAGAAATTAGAGTGCAGTTCCAGCAGATGTGGGGGTCCAGGAGCAGTACTACTTCAACTGCCACCACCCAGGTGAAGCACCTGAGATGCTGAAATTCTCTGGGGACTTGATTGGGTTTAGTTTATGAATGAATAATAAGCCAAAAATTCCTGTTAATTATTATTTTAACTGATTTATTTCATTTTGCATGTTACTGCATATATTTTCAAGTTGATACATGAATTTTCATATAAAATTAAATTGTAGGTTATGTTATCCAGCTAGGCTTTCTTAAAAAAGAATAATAGAGAAGACTGAAATATGGTTCTCTATATGGCTAGGTATGTTATCGCTATGTTTTTATTTTCTTTTAATGAACTACAATAATGCTTTTGTCTCATGTCATTGGTGGTTTTGGAATTAGGGTTGCTGTTGAATATCACTCTCTGTGCTGAGGAAGAGCTGAAATGGCAAGCTGTAGCTGGAAGAAGAGAGGTCAGAGTGTAGCTGAAGTGTTTGGGGAAGCTGGGCCTGAAACTGAGAAGGGCATGTTGAGACCAAAGAGGAATGAGGTGCTGAGGCAATGAAAGAACCACATTAGTGTTTGAGGTAGCCACAGAAAGTGAGACCCTGAGTATGGGATAATGGGTAGGAAGAAGCCGTGACAGAAAGGGTGAAACGTGTAGGCTGGGTAGTGTGAAGGACCCAATAGGAAAAATGAGCGCTAACGGGTTGAGATTTAAATTCTCCCACTCATTATCGTTACAGTCATATTATGTGTCCTGAATGTATGAATGGCCAGGCTTTTCCAGGCCAGTGCAGTTTGCCATCTATAAGAGGGACCAGTACTGACTGCCTGCAAAAAGCCCTTAGGAAGACAGATATGAGAAACATACCCATGAGGAACATTTTTCTAACCTTTGTAGCTAAACATTATTTATTTTCTTAAGCCAGAGGATTTAAGTGTTTCAAAATTATTTATTAAACATTTTCTGATATTCCTTTGGATATTCCTGTAATCCATATGTAAATCTAGTCCTTTTCTGCGTGCTGCTACATTTTTCACTTCAAATAGACTTTGTGGCAATAATTTCTACTCTTTATATGTCTTTGTCAAAGAAGACTTGGTGATATCAATTTAAAATCTAACAAAAAAAAAAAGGACTTTTCCACATGACAGATACTTAGCCTGAGGAACATACTGCTCGTTTCATCTCTGATGGGATGAATTCCTGTGCCATATGGGCTTAACCAATATACTCTGAACAAGAAGCTGGAACAGAGA